TTTAGTTTTTATTATAGTGTAGATATTAATGGTTTTACACTGTGATTATCACAACATTGCAATAATGAACAATATCGTGAGGTTGAAATAAACCTCATCCTGTTATCAGCTGCATAAATGTGCAAAAAAAAAAACAAAAACAGTTTGTGGCAGTATGTGTTGTAATTTGATGACTCACCCACTGATATATTAACTTGCCCCATTCCTCTGGTCGTCTCCACATGACTAAACACCGAGACTTGTTTTTATCCAACCACTCGAGGTTGCCTGAAGACAACAAGAATGCTTTTCACTTATCAACGTTACACAATAAGATATTTTTTTCTTATCATGACACTATGCTGGCAGGTAAAGTGAATAAAATTCACCTTTTTTCCTCAGTTCCTCAAAAACAACTTGAATTGCTTCCATTGACAGTTTTCCTGGGATTCAGTTAAGGCTAATGTGCAATGGCACAATAAGCATCTTCATGCCAGTTGTGTTTAAAATGCCTTATCTTGCCCTCGGCACAGATTAGCTGGGAAATAAAATTCAGTGATCATGTTATGACCTCAGTCTCTGAAGACAGCTTTGTATCAGGCCCGAATCAAGAGGGAAACCTCAAAATAAATCAGTCAAGCAGAGAGAGAAAGGGGGAGGTGGCTCTGTCCTAAAAACTACAGTGACTGCAATGTGTGTCAACATTAATATCTCTGAACTATAAATTCTTCACAAGAGATTTAGCAATTGTAATATATAAAAAAACAAAGGATTTAAACTAAAAACAAACAAATATTTTTCCAAAAAAACCATTAAAATAATTGAACACTCCCTTAAAAAGGAACCACAGGTTGACTTTCAGGATACGTTCTATCTTCTTGTTGTTGAACATGGGGCTTTCCTGAGCCTCCATGACATCCAGCGTGTAGAGCTTGTGATGCCGGCAGTAGGACAGAGCCAGTGAGCACCATGCCGCCAGCTGCTTCTGTCTCGTGTCAACATTGGGCTGTAGTCTGTCAGAAAAGAACACAAAGAGATTACTGCAAAGATTACCGCAAATGCTTGGGCAAAATAAACTTAATGCACGTTAAAGACACAAACACATTTTTC